CACCCCCTTCTCATATCTGCGCCTGCACAAAATGACGGTCATTTGTGTACACATCCCATCGCCCACACAGCCTTCTGAGAGTGACTCTTTTTCATTAGCATGTTTGATTCAAGCAAACTCTCGACCCGTTTCAACATTCGTCACCTTATTCTTTGGGTCGTTCGGTAAAGTCACGTAGATAGGTTCAATGAAATAACAAGAAATAACCAAAAAATAACGAAAAATACGACGTTTCGATCGCAACACAAGCGTTCGTCATCTGGACTTTACCGAAAGACCCAAAGAATATGAATTCCTGCGGTCATGAAAGCTTTAAGTCATTCATCACCTTTTCAGCAGTCAGGTTTGCATAAACCAAATACTGGTGAACTGTCAGATGTTTAAAGGCAACTATCCTCTGTTAGATGTGGGTCCTAGTTTCACGGAAACCTACATGATAATACGTAATCATTGGCATCGATAGGTCTCCTTGCCAGCCGCTTCCTCTAGAAACGCTGACTGGAGATTGTCTCCGTCAAGGTTGTATGGAGTCCCACGGCCAGAGCTGGCAATGACAGAGCAACACTTGGCAGAGAGGGGTTATTACTCACACAGCATTTTCCCACAATGTCTCACTTTGGCAGAACACCACATACTCAGCAGACAGGAGAGAAAAGAAAAAGTTTGAGCGTGAATCCATGTTCTGAAAAAATTCCCCGAGCGATGGTGGGTGATGTTAAGGGACACAGCAACCATATTTCAAGTGTGGTGCAGATTTCAAAGTACAAAAAAACACAGAGGGTCTAAAAGGTCCCACATCTGGTGAAAATTATGGAACTGTTCCTTTTGGACCCAACTTCTCACGCTGCTCCTCTTCCTCCCCTCTCGCCAACAACACGAGCAATCCCCATGCTCTCAAATGAAAAAAAAAACCAGCGTAACTTGGCGTAACTTGCTGACCCGCCCATACTGGACGTGAGCTTCATAACTCCACGGATTCTAAATAAAAATTCAGATTTTTATCATCTGAGTTGGGAGAAGACGCATGATGTAGATTATTCAAGAAAGCACTTGCCCTCAGCTCGGATCTGAAACACAGTCCACCACAAGGCCAATGATAAAAGTTGTACAATCGCAAAACATGTGGCATTCATTTTCCTGGGGCAATTTCAGGAAGCTCAATAAACATGCAGCGCCTGATTATTTCCTATTCTCATTTCTCTGGTTGCAATCCGACACCTAATCGCACATCTCACGACCCGAAAGGGCACGTGTACACTCGCGCGGTTGGTTTGAAGTTTAGCCCGTAAGCCGACAACTCATTCGCACGAACTTGCGTACACCGTACGGCAATTGACACGCAAAAACAGTCAGCTGATGCAGCATTCACCGACTCGCTCCGGTCACTCACGCACTGGGTGGGCCAGTCGCATTTGTATCACTCAATTTAACTCTTCTGTCGCTATGCCACCACATGGTGAGTGTTCCCCTGAACGTCGCTCTTTGATTCCTCCACCCATATTGAGATCTTACCAGATGAGTTCATCTCATCCACACTATTTTGTTGAACCAACCAACACTGCGGGTCAAAACACTTCTCTTCGTGATGTATTATCTGTGCTGTTCTGCTTTGGAATTCCCTCCCATCGTCTCGTATCCAAAGTTCTTACAATATTTGCTCAAGTCAATGAACGTGGTAAATACATCTGAAACAGTTATATACAGTACTTTCGTGCAATTTGTACTTCCATGCTATATCTCTATTTTAATTTCTACATTGACTTGCTCAACTTTTATCTGGCTTACTTTTGTGTCCCCGTATTTCCTTTTGATGTAACCTGCTAGCCTGCCGCTGCTGGACATCTGTGAAGAATAGCTTCATAGCTCATGAAATGCCTCCAGTATAATTCTGAACTCTTATCTATTTAAACCTTGAAGAGTGCTGTTCGTTCCTTGACATATTGCGCCTTTGGCCTGTGTTCAGCAACCGTGATAAAATATAAGTTATCATGAATGCTTGCTCGCGATGCTGTGTACTACAAGAGGCGCTTAGGAGTACGAGGCGCCTACTCAGTTCATCCCCTCCAGCACCAAATCACCAATGCAATCCCGATCAAAAACAGGCCGTGATATGTTGAAACGTACACAAAACTTAAAAGTTATTTTCTGTTCAAATAATCTTTGAGGCAGTGTTCATTTGCTGAGCCGGAAGTTTACAATAATCAAAATCCCTCCGGCGGGAGCAAGTCTTTCCATACATAGGGGCAGTAGATTGTGTACTGTGCGGTGAAAATTCACTGTCGTGACCTCTACTGCTTTTGGGAAATTGTAAATCTCTTATCATTCTTTAATATTGTCACTGTTGTCATGAGGTTACTTATTTGAAACGACGGGTGGAGTGGTGGGGCATTGATGCGCGCATTTTCCTACGATGCCGAGATTCCCAGCCACGGCTAACATCAGTGACGAGAAACAGCTGACACGTTCCTGGGTCCTCTGTTCCTTCACCGACCCGCACTGACCAGCGTGGTGAAGTATGGTCAAACAGCCCTCGTGACCGACAGCATGGTGATGCCTTCATCCAGAATTGGCCTGAAACAGCGATCTAACCCCCCCAAAAAACCCCTGTATTATGGAAAATATTGGCTCGGAAAGTGTTAAGCTGCAAACTGTTTTATTATTCACGATTTTTTTCCCCCCAGAATTTCCATGTTAGAGCAGGCACAACGCCATTTGTTGCCTTTGAGATGCTAAACAATTTCAGATGTGCTTTAAAAGAAAATTAAAAAAAAAAGCACGTTCCCCAAACAAACGCCGCTTGCGCCGTGCTTTGCGTCTTCGTTACGGCAGGCCGTTGTGGAGGGCCTTCGCTTCAGGAACCACGAAGTTGCCCTCCAGTCTCCTGCCGCCGACTCGGTCGTGCAAGCCATCGTGCGCGTCGGCAGCCACTGGCGCGCCGAGTCCGACCACCGCAAGGGCGGCCGCCCCGCCGGGTACTGAGAGGCGGACTCAGGGCGGCGGCGGCGGTGGCACCACGAGGAATGCCACCGACGTTGCTGGGAGGCTTCAGCAGGTCACGACGTGAGCTGGCGGTCCCCCGCCCCCCCCCCCGCCTCTGCCTCGTAGCCCCCACTGCGTCACGGTGGCGAGATGTTATCCACCTCGTCTGGTCTACAGGAGGTCGTGGGTTCGATCGATCTCTCGGCGTGGCAAGTATATTGAATGCATCTTCTTGGTTCTTTCGGTAAAGTCACGTAGAGGGGAAGTAATAAAATAATAAAAATAAAACATAATAAAATATTATAATATTATAATATTATTAAAATAACTTATTTTATAATGTTTTATTTTTATTCTTTTATTACTTCCCTTCTACGTGACTTTAGCGAAAGAACCAAGAAGATGAATCCCTGCAGTCACGAAAGCTTTAAATCGAAATATATTGAATGCCTCCACCCTTGTTCAGCCAGTGGTATAAAATGAGGACACCACGGGTTATGCGCGGTGTCTGCATCCACCCCTTACAAGATGTGTGGCTATCGTGGAAGAGTAGGCCAAATATCCTCCCCTTCTTGCCTGCAGTTGCCGTAACTGCCTTGTGCTGCCTCGCCTATCATTGTACGCGTGTCTCGCCTACCATAACGCTCCTTTCAGACTGCCTGCGCACGATAATATTGCTACAGATTAAGGCACACGAGCGGTTATTCCAGTTTCCTGCACGCCGATTAAAATTGTAAAAAGAATATTTTTTAAAATGTAACCGCAATAAAACTACACCAAAAAAAATAAATCTCGCCCAATTCCTGTTTCTCCTTTGACTGTGTTTGCGCAGATGACTCACCCGCTAACTTTCCGGGTTGAAAGTATAGGTTGGGAAATAAAAACACTGCCCAGCCCGCCACTGTTGTGCATGCCAAAGTGAAAGGACTGCGTTTGTGTAAAGGTCCAGAAGTCTTGCAGTTGCCTGCTGGCAGAAGAGCATGGAATCGAGGGAAGCTCTATCCGGGCTCACACACCAAGACCAATGGACGTGTCAAGAAGCCAAGACGTCTGATGAAAAAAAAAATCGCTGAAATAAGCATTGAGGCAGTGCTCATCTCCTGTTCAACATCCCAGAGCCAGTGGTTGATACTCGACATTCCGCATTCCCGTGGCGGGGTTTAGTTCTACCATCGGACAACCACTTTTGGCTTCTTCACAAAGTTGGGGTGGGGGGGATTATGGGTTGGGTCGACCAGGACACGAACTTGCAATATTTCAATTGTGAGTCGCCCTCTCTGCAGGCGAGTCACCCGGCCGGTTTGCGCGTTGCGTTCAGTGATGTCGGAGGACTTGTGATGGCTTACGGCTCAAATGGCACTTGTTGTGAACAAAATTGTGCCAATGGGAGGGCACAGTTTAGAGGTGGAATTCCAAACACAATGGACCTTTCGCATACTAATCCTCGTGTACGCAGTAAAACGTATTGTCAAGCGATCCATTCAGATGCCGGGTTTTGTAATCTACGTGTCGGAGGAGGCCATTGTGTGGCGGTGTTAAGGGGAAGTGGTATTGTAGTGATTAGCCCAGTGCGCTACGAACCCAGTGACCCGAGTTCGATTCCAGCTCAAGAACCAATAACAGTGACGAATATCTGAACCGGTCGTAGACTCAGACTTAAGTGAGCACTTGGTGCAGTGGGTAAACATCTACACTGGGGAGACAAAGACGGCCGGGCGTGGTGCTGGACACCCACCCCCTCGTGAGCTATGTCAGCCTTTTACGAGGTGCTCGATAACAACATTTGGCCCAAGAGCATTACAGGCAAATTACTCAACTGGAATCAGATAACAATCATCGCCGAACTGATGACGTATATCACTCTTGCAAATGAGACTCATCCTGACTCGTCCTGGTCTCATCAGACTCATCCTGGGTCTCATGAGACTCATGAGACCTGGTTAAACAAAATAAACGTACTTAACGTGATCTTTAAACTTTATCCACACGTGAATTCAAGGCCCCAATCGTCCAGACAAATAGAATGTTTCGTATAAAGGCTTTATTGTTAGTAAATAACAATGTTATAAAAATAGACAAAAAATATTTCATCATAAATGTTCTGTAGATTATACGTTAAAACAGAAATGCGTTAAATCAGTTTGTATCTGCACAACCATTCATTGACGCTGTCCTACACACCAACATCTCTTCAGTTTTCATGCAGTAACAGTCTATGCAAGATGAACAAAGCGCGACTTTTTCGTATACAGTACACGACTGTGATCCTTAATATTCTTCAACTGGTCAAGTTTGAAACAATAGAAATAGTATTCTTAAAATCACAGATGATCACATTTGAAAATCATGCCCTTTAGAATCATTAGGTCACCATCACGCAGGGGACACGCGTTCCGTTGAACCCCCGGCAAACAGAGCCCACTGCCGTTCGTATCCCCTGCTCCTGCGAGCCTTTATCGGTTGCTATTCGTGAACGAAAGACCGCGGTTTAAGCAGTCTCGTTTTCCAAAGCACCTACGGGGGGTGGGGGGGAGAGACACGCTGCTGTCGAGGTCTGGAAATTCAGGACTGCTTGCACGCACCGACGTGTCTCGTGCGTAAATGCCCCATAAAACCCTGGCTGTAAATAAATGACTGGCACCATTTTATTTTAAAGTGTGGAGGCTGCCCTAGTGTGGTGGTTATAGTAGACTGGGCTTGAAATAGGCAAGTTTCTTAAATCTCCCCTCCAACCCCACCCCCCCGCATCAGTCCGCCCCCCCCCCCAACAGTATCAATGGGCTTATCATCAGGGTCAACACTGCCAGCAGCGGTGTGAGCAAGTATGTGCAAGGGCTACAGCTTTACTGTTACTGTTTTATGGTAGAAACGGTCTCTTATGAGGCCCTGCCATTAAGTGGGTTTTCAATTGATGGCAAGTCGCCTGAGCTTCCACCCACACATGGTGCATGAAACGTAATGCCCGTGCGGCTGGGTATATTCACTGAGTGATGTCCTGGGGAGGGAAAAAAACCCAAGAACATCATTCCAATGACATCAGTCACTCAGTCACAATCGTCTTCATGTAACATATGGCAGGTTTTGCCAGCTGTATCATATCGCCAACAGATACAAGATGCCTCCCTCTTGATCCTCAAATGAACACGTTAATAAGCTACATAAATGCATTTTAATTCACGAACGTTTTGTAAACTACATTCGACGCACATTTCATATTGTCCGACAAGCAACAATTGCGTGGAATAAACTCGCACGTGGACAGTCTTCAGAATCGTGAATAACATTCGTCCTGAATTAGCCACAGGAAAAGCCACGTTTATTCAAAGTGCCGCATGAGGTTTGGGCGTAAATGTTAAGAGGATTAAGGCATAAAAACCACCGTAGGTGAAGCATAACTACACCTTACTGTATTGTGTCACAATTCACCCTGCGCCTTCTGTATAAACAATCGACTTTTGTCAATGTCACCTGCCAAGCAATCCCATACTTAAGTTTGGGGCACATGCCATGGGTCAAGATTGAGGTGTCATCACGGGGAGGTCTCCGAAATATTGTTGATCTGAAACAGGAGAGCCCCCCCACCGCCGATGTTTTTTTAACAGCTGAATGCAAGTATTGTGTTTGTTCGGGTATTCATAGCAAGTGTTACAAAACAATGGCATCCTCCAACGCAGTGCTTCTCAACCTTTTACATTCCCCGCGGCACGCACCGTCAACCTCGCTCGGTCTTTGTTGGCACAGAACTAACCGAGATTTTAAAAAAAACTATTGTTTTCTAGATTGACAGCTCATTTCTCGAGATTGAACACTAATTTCTTTAGAACTACTTTTTGTGTTTTGATTTAAAGCTTTCGTGACTGCAGGGATTCATATTCTTGGTTTTTTCGGTAAAGTCACGTAGAAGGGAAATAATAAAATAATAATAAAATTACAAACATGATCGCTTGCGTTGCAGTCGGAAACGTCGTGAGAATTTTATTGTTTTATATTTTTATTATTTTATTATTTCCCTTCTACGTGACTTTACCGAAAGAACCAAGAATGTACTTTTTGTGTGTTTAGTTTGTTGTCCTTCCACCCCCCCCCCCCCCCCGCAAACTTTAGATTATCACGGTGGGCTACGTACGGTGCAAAAGAAGTTAAACGTAAAAAAAAACACTGATGAAAGATCTCAACTGCGCACGCGCGATCAAGGGGGGGGGGGGGGGGGTTAGAGGGCCGGGGGTGGGGGCCGACGGCTGCCCGCTGCCATGCTGCACCGCGACCAATGGAGAGGGGAGGGCTTTTCACTGTACGACAAAGAGGTGATTTCGTCTTTTCCTAGCTCGGGTACGGCAAGGTTCTTTTTAAATCCTTTACATTAAGTTCACTTGCTTGCGCGCTTGCTTGCTTACGACCGTGCAAATCTTTCGGTCGTCTTTTTAACCCACTTCCCGTGATCCAATCGAGCTGACATTTTGCACACAGATTCGTTGTGCGTGACAATTAATTTTCGTGAAATTTTGTTTGCAAATTTTTACACTTAAAAAAAAACAAATTATATTTAATTACCAATTGCTTAATGGTGGCAGGCAATCATCTGACCCATAGGTGGCAGCCATCTCAAGCCAGAGGACGAGAGGACTCTAGCCGCCACGCATATAAAGGATTTATAGTGAAAAACTTTCTTTTTACGGGTTCATTTTTCTTTCCTTGCTGTTGAATTCTAAAACACCACAGCACACCCGCGAACGTGCTACAGAGAGAGCGCACTGGTCTGATGTTAAAAACCTTCAAAAGATAAAGGTGATGAATATATGCGACTATAAGAGCGTATGCTATTCGTCTCACATTTTATATGCATCCTTTAATATACGTGTTTTAAAATATATAATCATGTATAAAGATAATTTTATAAAGCTTGGCAGCAAAGGCAAATAACACTTTTGTCTAAATACAATCACATCCTCAGACAATTTCCATTCCGTAGCAATATTCTGCACGTTTGCAATATTTGTACAAAGGATAGCCATGTATTTGATGTGCTCCTGTCATAGACAGCAGTTAATAGGAGGTATTTGGTTTTAGTTCATGCACATGATGCAAAGAGAGTGCGGTCTGGGACTGAAGTTCCAAAGTGTGATCACTCTGGTGGCCGGACATCTTCGGGATCGGAGCGTTGGCACCGCTGACACCTTTGGTTTGAATTCAGTTTGCAGCTGTCCGTGATTGCATTTGATTCTCAACCATAGTGAGATGATGACGTCAGCCTGGTTATAAAGGACTGCACACACAACAACAATAACAACAAAAATCAATAGAAATATATTTGATTCTTCTGCTCTACTTTGCAAGAAATTCTTGGTTCTGAGAATTGAAAATAATTTTGACCGCATAAATAGGTGCGTGGGAACGTTTGGTGCCCATACTTCTGTCGATAACGTTTACTTGAAGGGATCTTAGAAGTAGTTCTTTCATATCTCCTTCCACAGGGCCGTTCTCTCACGAGGGGGCAAAGCACTGTTGTTCTCTGCGAGTTCTGAAAAGGAAACCTGAACTCATGACATTACACCAATAGCACAATTGGAGTAAAAGTTACAGATATTCGCTAAACAAATATGGCCCCCACATGCCTCATTTAGCATCTCCACCGTTCTCAAATATTTGAATACATAAAATTGCAAATTTACACCCTCTCATGTGTTTAATGATATCTCGCTTCTTTACAAATGTAACTGTGGGCTCTTTTCCTTCATTAAAAAAAAAAGTTTTGGAAGTTTGTGGTGGAGGGGTAAAATAAGAGGTGGGGGGGAGCAAGGGGCGAGTGATTTCCTGCACAGTTGATGGGCCACTTCCTCACGCCACAAGTTTTGTTATTGTATCTACACATGAACTGTTCCTGTGCCGCGTTGCGTGCCAGATACAATCGAGAGCAACGCTGCATCGGATGAACAATGTGCGCTGGAATGGAAAAATCAAAAGCAACAGCGCAAGCATCGGAGGGTCCTACATGGCACGGAGGGAGAGCCACTGCGATATGGCAACCGTAAATGGGAAGGTGTGATGTTACGACATCACGATACGATATCAGTTTTCCCCGGTACGACGACTACTCCCGCGACATCACTTTTCCGCAACGTAAATGTTTTTTCGTTTGATGTACGCGTTGGCAATAACTAAAAAATAAGAATGACAACGGAGTCATCGTGAGGAGAAAGAAAACCCGAGTTGGCCTCATTTCTTCGAGGGGAACGTTTTGACGAAGAAAGCCGTCATAGAAGGAAGCACGGAAGCGAGAGGAAGGCCGGGGATTGGCATGTTAGGGAAGTTGAAGGAAGGGTCACTTGTGCAAGTCAAGCAGAGGGCAGAGAACAGAGAAGGATGCAGCGGATGGTAGCCAAGGACATGCTGTTAAGGCAGAGCGCCAAAATATAATTACTTTCAGTACAAATTAAGAGTAATTTAACTGTAGCGCACTCAACATCGGCATACCATAAGTCTTCTATAGCACACATGATGTTAGTTAAACAATAGGGAAATATTTAAACGCATAAACTATCTACCAAAATGATGACATCGAATACTGTAACCGCCATAACATTTACTCCAGAATATAATAGAAAATATACTCATTTAAGCTACTTGTTTACAATCAAGTTATTTGAAATAAAATCTATATTTTTAAACGACAAACTATAATCAGGATATTTTGGCAAGCAGGCGATACACTGATCGTGAATCTTGTGTCGTATGCTACATCGATATATTGTAGGACGTGAGAATCTTACAAGTCTTGCCATAGAGTGGCAGTCCTCCTCCTGAGAGGACTGCCACTGCTGCGATAATCTCCACTGTCGCACCACCATGAGGCAGTTGCGCACAGCAAATGGAGATTGTAACTAAGCAAACTCTGTCATCATCATCATCCGGTCCCATTGCTCAGCAGTGCAGCAAGCAGCTCACAATAAGAGGGTCGCTAGTTCACCCTGGTTGGGGGTTTAACTCGGCCCATCATCCCTCAAAGTTCAATAAATCGAGTACCACCTTGTGAGGAAGTCAACAGTCGGTTTTCCTATGGCCACAGCAATTTGAATGTGGAATGTTCACCCCCACTGGCTCAGGGCTGTAAACAGCTATGAGCACTGCCTCAATGTTCTTCTGTGCAGGAAATGGCTTTGACTTTGAACTCTAGCATTAAAGTGTTGTGTAACCCACGTACAGTTTCTCCACACTAGGCCGCCGAAGCCGTGCAAACAGAACTGAAGGCCGAATTTACATTTACCACTGTAGTGTCATTACAGTGGCACAGTGGACGAAATATTACCGAGTGCGTTGTTTTTTTTGCTGCTGTGCCGTACAGCACTCCGATGTGTTTTCGCACCGACAACATCGGGGATGGAGTGTGCAAAGCAACACGCGGTACAACCCGAAAACACACCGCAGAGGTAGAGGAGACGGCCTGGATGATTCGTATTATGATTGTGCTATCTTTCCCTTCCAGCACTATTCCACCTAGCATTGGCGTGATCTGTTGAGGAATGCCTGTGCTGTCACATAACCATGTATTTAAAACAATAATTTCTGTACAAGAACACTGATGGACAAACAACTCCCCTCCCCCCACACCCAAAAACGTTTAAAATAACGACTTTGTTGTTGCACATTACAAATATAAAAATCTAAGCCCTCCGATAAAATCTCGACAAGCAACTGTGACACCACCGTTATTCTATCCAGGTCGAGTTGACGTCTATGGGAAATGTGAGCCCGAGCGAATACATTGTGCAGCGGAAAACTTCGAAGGATGCCTCGCAAGCAGCAGAACTTGTGATGCATTTTGAAGCTATGAACACGAGGAGGGACATCGCTTGCGAGACGCCACAGAATTCGTGGGCCTCTTGTTAGCACCTTGCCAGCTGGAGGCCACTGACCGGCAGGTGCTCGTGAAACTCACAACTTCGAAGGGCACAGCAGAGGAACAGGACTTGACGCGCCGAGCTGTTAATATGACAAGATCATTGCGTTGAGTTTTTGTCCTTGTAGCGGAGCGGCGCTTGGGAGATTCCACATTCGTAGGCCTCTCTCCAAGCATCCGACGGACAGAGCACTTGAAGTGTCGGAGACACTTGGCAGAGGAGTGTGAGACGGAGGGTGCTTGCAGCTCGGCCTGAGTGGGGGCAGCCCTCTCCCGGGCCTAGTAGCCATCGGCCATTGAATACTTGCGAGCGTCAGACACAGCTGTTATGGCTCCATCCTCGCGCCAAATGGCTTGCACCACACCAACACTGGGGAATATCTGCTTAAACACGTGGGATTTCTTCTCCAAAAGCAGCTTGATGGCCTGTTGGTAAAAAAAAGGGTTAGAGAGAAAACAAATGGTCGTGATGATGACGATTACGCAAAATGCACGATCCCATCCGGTCACAATAAGGTTCTAGTCTAGTGGATATATCAACCTCTTTGATGTGGCAACCTCCCCAATAAAAACCACCAGTCCTCGCCCACCACAGCCTCCGTGAGCCCCCCCCCCCCCGAGTTTACTAAGGGTACACAGAGAGATCACATGTCCATGCCTGAGATAACAACTCCCATAAGCTTCTTGGGGCCCTAAGCTTTTACTCAGTTTACTTATGCCGAGCGCCACACCACTGAACACTCATCATTGTTGTGATCACCTCATTGAAGCCTGTCTCGTTCTGCAGGGAGAAATCTCCCTGGTTGATGTAGAGTCTTGGCTGGCACACTGCATTTGGCAGATCGTACCCAAGCCACAGCACGTTCGCCAAGACCTGCACGGGGGAGCCTTGTTTAGACACGCACTCTGCCGTGGCCCAATAGTCCCTGCAGCAAACCCTTAGAGTACGAACAAGACGTAAAGAACAGAGACGACGAAAACTACAAGAACAATGACAACAAAAGAAACAACAAAACATCATAAACAACCAAGAGCATCAACAATGACAACAACAACAACGAGAACTTCGACCACAAATCAAACAGCGTCGGTAGCAACATCGCTGGTGACAACAACAAAATTACGACGGACAAGAACAACAACAACAAAGACAACATCAACAACGAAAGGAACAAATAAAAAAAGGGCGAGCTGCCAATGGCAAGCGTCTCACGCCTGAAACAGAATCAGATCAGAATCCAAATATGTATTTATACTGGAGGAATCTGATGAGCTCTAAGGCTCTTTGTCACAGATGTCCAATAGGTTCTCCCCCTCCCGACTTGCTAGCGGTCACGGTTAGTTTCAATCTTTGTTTTTAAAACATCACAATTTAATGTAGTGGCCGCAGGGTGTCACGTACACCGATCACAAGCAACACGGTCGAACGATGGCAAATAACCGATTCGTGTGCACGCATACACAGATGCACGACCGTGAGCGCGAGAGATTCCTTGATGTGTCGTTCCCCAACTGCCATCTCGCTTTCCTTACGACAGAGTAAATGACACGTACGGCGTGCGCGCACACGATATAAGACCTTCAATTAAACGGAACGCCAAGTCCAAGAGGCAACACGCCCCACAGGACATGTATACCGCCACGGAAGGGGAGCAATGACTCCAGCTCGTGTGCGGGAGCGAGGTTTTTCTTTTTTGTACGTTGCGAGGCCGTGAAAGATGGTGACAAATTTGGGGAGACTTTCACCCACCACCAGTCATTAAAGATCGCGGGTGATGCCGATTGGGATACATTTCAACAAAAAATGTGCACGATGGAGGAACCGACGCATCGTTACGCAGCTGGAGCTAGGTTTCAAAACATTGACAGCTTCCACCGCAGCGGTGGTCCGGCGGGACTTGAGTGTTCGCAGCTCCCGCTGTGGAAACACGGAGCGGTGCTCACCTGCGCTATCGCCGCTGTGATCTTGGAGCCGCCCGAGGCGCCGATCACCATTTTCACCAAGCGACGTTCGTCCAGGAGGAGGCTCGGGCTCATGAACGAGATGGGACGTTTCCCTGCAGTGACACGAGCAAGGCATTGCAGGGCTGCACCTTGTTTAAATCCTTTATATTAAGTTCACTTGCTTGCGCGCTTCCGACCGTGCAAATATTTCGGTCGTTTTTTAACACACTTCCCGTGATCCAATCGAGCTGACATTTTGCACACAGACTCGTTGTGCGTGACAATTTATTTTAGTGAAAATGTTTTTCCAAAATTTTACACTTTTTAGGAAAAAATAAATTATATTTAATTACCAATTGCTTAATGGTGGCAGGCAATCATCTGACCCATAGGTGGCAGCCATCTCAAGCCAGAGGACGAGAGGACTCTAGCCGCCACGCATATAAAGGATTTATAGTGAAAAACTTAGTTTTTATGGGTTAATTTTTTTATTACTTTAGCTTTTTCCCCAGGATGCATGGACAATAGTGGTGAGTTGAGTTTTTCAACAATGCATTTATCAATTTTCAAAAGCCTGAACAACATCTTCCTGTCCTTTTGGCAGTGAACAATCGTTGGAAGTGAAAAAGAAAATGTGCCTCCATGCAATCACTGTGAATACTGTTTGATGACTTTCATAAACTACATTATTCAGTTGGCAAGGCTGATATTGTCCCAAAGAACAGTGAGCCAGAGTGAAAAGCGGAGTTTACATGGCCGGTAATGAATGTAAATGGCCCGGTAATGGCCTGCACAAATTGGCAGATAAACAACATTGTGTCCCCGTGGGACTGTTTAACAAAAAGCAGGAAGTGAGTTAAACTCTCCCTAACAAATTCTGTTTGCAGTGACAGGCCAAGAAAGAATAGGACAAATTATTTGCTGCTGCTACTGCTTTGGCAACTGTGTACAAGCACGAATAACAAACAAACAATAAGCTCAACACATTTGTCAATAAAAGCCCTGGCCTTAAAAGGAAAATTATACAAGAGGTAGCGTTTTTTCGGGGCAATGGCCCTCCTTCAAAGCACACGAATCAAGAATGAAAATAGGGGCTTACACGGCTCGATAAAGTTGAAGGCCGGTTTGCCGGCTTGAGGGCAGGAGAAGTCGGACATCTGGTCGTTGAGAATGATGCCGGTTCTGTTCGACACGACCTGCGAACCAAAACTGCACCGCGTCGTTGAGCACGTGGATGAGGTTCCAACGCTCGTCTACCCATCGTGTGCTTTATCTCGAACCGGGTAGGGCCCATTGAGTTTAGCCATCTCTTTTTTCAAGGAAGATCTGGGTTCAAAATAAAGCCATCGGGTCAACATTGTTTTAAATTTAAAAGGTCAACAAAACAATAACATGATCGTTTTAGTCTTTTGGTATCTCCATTCTGCCATTTCTGTCCTTATTTAAACGGTATATTAATATCCCTAAAGTTTAAGTGTGAATCAAATTTTACAACATAATTGCTATTATTAAGATGATTAGATTGTTTTTTACTTTAATTGTGGAATGCTTTGATGTTGTCGACCGAGTCGCCCTTGAAAATTACTTTCTTAGCTCAATGGGCTTCACTCGCGATATAAACTTCTGATTCTGATTATGTAATGAACAGTATATAAATCTAATGATAACAATTACAACCCTTTTCAATCCACTGCTGGACAAAGGCCTCCCCACACTATCTCAATAAACATGTAATGGTGGGCCAACGTTGCATGCATGGGGTAGTTTAACCATACTTCACCATGCTGGTCAATGCAGGTTGTTGAAGAGCAAGAGTCCCAGGGTCCGTGTCAGCTATCACCACATTATCGGGAGCTGGGAATCAAACTCGGGTTGCCGTGTTCACTGCATTGTGTGCCAAACACTGAACCACTGCTCCATGCACATGGTGAGCACTGAGGCTGAATTGTGGCCACTCCACCGGTTCAAAGTTCATCCCAAGCACTCGTGCCGGTCCCCCAGGCACCTTTACTGTCCAATTGATGGGACATCATCGCAGCAGCCGAGAGTTACCAACGCAATCCTATCAAACATTTTTCGATTTTTGTCGACAATTGGGCATTAAGCAATTCACCGCTGCCAGTGATTCCATGAATGACGGATGTCACAATTTGGGTTCGTGAGTCGATTCAAGAATCGATGTTTGTTTTCAGCTCATGAAAGATTTACTTGCCAAAATTCCAATGCAAAACCCTCCTGATGAACACTTTTGAGGCTCCGTAAAGATTTTCCGTTTGGGTCTCAGCAGTGACATTCACGTTTTGCACGTTAGGCCTGTGCCACCGCTGCTAGGCATCCTGGTTAAATGATGGACATTAAAAAAAACCAATAAACCCAGAATTCTAGATTTGAAGCTTTCGTGACTGCAAGGATTCATACTCTTAGTTTTTTTCGGTAAAGTCACGTAGGTAAAAAATAAAAATCACGACGTTTCGGAGGCAACACAAGCTTCCGTCTTCAGGTGGAACCGTCACAGCACGATAGCTGTATCAAGTGATACGATAGCTGTATCAAGTGATACATCTATCGTATCAAGTGATACAGCTATCATGCTGTGACGGTTCCACCTGAAGACGGAAGCTTGTGTTGCCTCCGAAACGTTGTGATTTTTATTTTATTTTTATTTTATTAATTTAAATTTTTTACCTACGTGACTTTACCGAAAAAACCTAAGAATAAATAAACCTAGAAAACTCATTTTCGCCATTCTCAAATAAGGATGCAGTGGTGCCGACGCATCTTCCCTCTGACGGCTCTGCGCAATTCGTAGCGCACGAACCCTTGAAGTGAAAGCGATCGCGATGGCGTGGCCGCAACGCGCGGGAGACTCACTACAAGTTGATGGAGCTGGTGACGGAAACGGCGCCGCCGTCCTCGGCCAGCACGGACAGGTGCGACGTGCCGTATCGGGGCTTGTCGGGGTCAGTGGGCGTGTAGAAGGAGCGCTCGTGGGTGCGGTCGTCCTGGATATGCTGTCGCAGCTTCTCGCCGTACGCCGGAGACATCAGCTCCTGCACCTTCTGGGAGCGCGACGGGAGACGCGCCGCCGCCGCAGCAAGATGGGGACGTGCACATCAATTTCGTATATGGACATTGAACAAAATTGTACTTTATAAGGAGGTGGCCGGGTGGTTTAGAGGCCAGAGCCCTGGGCTGGCACCGCAGACAGCTTAGGTTACAATCCAGGTTTCGGCCGACTGTGATTAAACTCATGTTGTCAAGCGTAGTGAGATGCTGGTCTCAAAAGGTTCACAAATCAATGTACAAAAGACCCATCAGGTTAAAATTGGTTTTGCACTTCATTAGGATAAATTCCAGCTCTGAGAATTAAACAATGGTCTGACTGTAAGGTAATTAATATTACTCGCATATGCTGTAGGTGGCATGTCATGAGACAAAGTAACCATTCCGATTTCTCACAGAGCAGTGTGATCCTTTGTATTAGAGAATGACCCGTGGAAGCAGATACCATAGAGGTACCTCTGAGATCCATTCAAGTGCCCTCTTGTCCACAATGAATAAAAAGCAGCTGCTCTAGGCTGCTGCTGCTGCTGTGGGGCGCCGTTGTCAGCACAAAGGCAGCGCAGAAAAATGTCACTTTCGTGCTGCTCCCACACCTCTGCTCTCTGCCTTCATCGCCAACCCCTCACGGACCAGCAGCTCACCTCCCGCGAGCTCACCTGGGCCATGTTCTCGAACTCGGGGTCGGCGAGCTCCTTGTGCTGCGCGTAGGCGAACTTGAGCACCTCGACCATGTGGTGGAAGTCAAGGGCCCTGCCCTCAGTGTCCTTCATCTCCCTTCTCTGCATGTGGAACGCTGTGGGCCCAGACGAGCACGTCAAACCTTTAGCGACCGTTTCATCATCAGCACCGTCACCGCAATGAACTTGGCTGGCAAAAAAAAAAACGTATAATGCAATATACGGATCTTTGTCAATCCACTGCTGGATGAAGGCCTTCCCCACACCGTGTCAGTAATGCAGGTTGTTTGACCATACTTCACCACACTGGTCAGTGTGGGTTGATGAACGGGAGGTCCCAGGACAGATTCAGATATTGCTCACCACTGATGGTAGCTGTGGCTGGAAATTAAAATCAGTCAACCGGGTTCGTAGCGCAGTGCATTAACCACTGCGGCACCGCTCCCCTTCACATGGCCTAGCCCCTTCAAACGTGTTGACCAGCTTGCGTTTAAACTCAGCCTAAGCATATTTTTGGTTCTTTCGGTAAAGTCACGTAGAAGGGAAATAATAAAATAATAAAAAGAAAACATCATAAAATTAAATTCTCACGACGTTTCCGCCACAACACAAGCAGCCATCCTTAGGTGAACAACAGAGCTGTCGGAAAGACAGCATCGCAGCTTTAAATCGAAAAATGCAGCCTAAGCAGTCAAACCTCTGGGAGCTGGATTTGATGACAGAGTGCAAGGTCACCCACTAGTGGCCGAGCACGTGGCAGACTGACACGACCGGTGTAACCTGTGCCCTCGGGCCGGGGTCAACCGACCACGTGTTCCGCTAATGGCGACCTTGTGCTGTTTTGTTTTTGGACGTACGTCTTCTAAATATATTTCTTAACTAATTTTAGTCATAATAAAAATATATATGTAACTGCCTTTATACTGGTAGGAACCACCTGGTTCCACCAGCCCACAGGGGATTATTGTGTCCGTCCGTCCGTCGTGCATCCAAAAATGGGAGAGGTGGGGCTGGGTGGAAAGGGGAGGGTGGGGAGGGGAGGGTGGGGAGGGGTTGGTCACCCCGTGGTGCCCTTATAAAACTCAACGTTTAACCTACTCACGCCGGCTTGTGCCCGCCCTCACAGTCAGCCATATTGCGGAATACACCACGCCGCCGTTGACCCTGGCCATTGACCGAGCAACTCAACGTTCCTACCAGCTCCCTCCGCAGGAATGTGTTATTTTGAAATATGCCACAGTCCCTTGTAGGCCGAATGCCATCATCACATTGGACCATTAAGGTGTGAGGGTAACTCTCATTCTCACGGCCAGTCCGCAACATTCACTTGTGGTAATATTACAGAAGGTGATACAAAATTAAGTATCACGAACATATAAAACAAATTGTCCTAGGTTCCTTATTAAACATTGTACAACTGGTGTTAGTAAAATATAATATTTTGACTTTTCAGATATTTTATATCGCAAAAAAGAAAAGGATATTTTTAAAAACCCACCAAGATCACAATATTATCAAACTGTCATCTGAAAGGGGTGGGGTGTGAGGGTTTTTGTGAATAATTGAATTGGCCTCGTGAGGCAAGATGATGAAATGGAATGTGGGTGGGCCAATGCAGGTGTGGCAGGGTAGCAAAGCGAATAAAAGAAGGGGAAGGCAGAAGTAATGCTCCTTGAGGGGGTTAACGGTTTGATGTGGTGTAAGCCAAACGTTTTGAAAGAATGCAATTATCAAGCACAAAAACTCGCCCTGGCTCTAGCGGTCAACTCATAAATAAAGCTCACATTCGGTATTTGCGCAATTCCTCTAGCACAAAGGCTTACATGAAGGTACTACGCTTATGCTTTGTAAGCTTTGCAGAACGTTTCTGCTTTGGTTTTACTGCAAAACTAGCCAACTGAGATCTTCACAGACAATTACCGGCAGCGCATTCCGCGTAGGTTGGCCGCACACCGCAAAAACCGTGGAGGCCGTGCGTGGGACCGATCAAGTCACCGCGTGACGCCGGGAGGAGGTAGCGTGGTGCAGCACCCAGTGCAAGCTCACTGCAAACAGTCAATCGTGTGTTTGTACTTGTGCGCAAGAAGGCCCCGTACCGGAGAGAGCGTTGACGATGGAGGTGAGGATCGCACCTCCCCCCGGAGGTGCCGGGGTGACGAGGGTGTACTTGCCGACGGGGAACATCAGCGGTTTCACGATTTCGGCGTGGTATGACCGCAAGTCCTCCAGGCTCAGCACGCCGCCTGCAGGAGGCCGACCACACGAGTGTGGGACATCGCTTACCGTCAGGCGTGCCGCGGATGTGCAAGTGTGCGTCAGACCACAGCCACCATCATCGAGCATTGTGTTTTTTTATTTCCATCTCGCAGAGACCAACAATGGGGATTCTTGGCGTCTCCCGTGCGTTGTCGGAGATCGCCCCCCCCCCCCCCCCGCAGTAGCCACTTGTTAATCGAAATCAGCGCAAGTGCGTGCGTTGTACGCGGATAAGGTTTGGAAAGATGCGGGGAATTACAGTGAGAGACATAAAGGGGAACAAGGCCACATTACAAATTATGGGTGAAGGTTACTCTAAGCAAACTAAATGTTGAGTAAAAAAACATTGCACTTCCGGGATGTGGCTTGGAAACATGAACCAACAAAGAATGTCGAAAAAAGGTGAAAGTGTAAGGAGGCATGGAGAGATGGTTACAGCGAGAGGCAGAACGAGGAAGGAATAAGCAGTGGGATGCAGATGAAAAATGTGCAAAACGAAAGTCATGTACGACATTATAATTGTTGGAGGGACACGGCTGTAATACACAACTAATGATGTACATCAAAGGCAATTGCTGATGATGGACCAGGAGTGAAATTATGAAATAAAGAGGTGAGCGAGAGCGAGATTTATCACTATTGGAAAAATTTATTTGACTCTGAAAACTTGTGAGAGAGATGAATTGTGAAATTGCAGAGCTGTGAAGGGATGGTGGCCACGTGGGTAAGGCCTTTGTCCGGCAGTGGCTAGAACATTGGCTGATGATGTTGATGTGTTATAAAAGACAACTCAATCGCTACATTCATTCAAAGTCCCTTTGAATTTGGCAACTCGAATGTACGTCGCATTTATTGCTGCGCACTTACAGAGAGACCTACCGAGAACATTCTTCAATTGGACCACTTAATCCATCCTAGATTTTCCTGCAAATCCACATTAGGTGTGGTAACCGCTTATTATTTAACTTAAATGAATAGTTTGTGCCGACACGTGGCAAATTGGTCACACTTTGATGAGGCTGTCTTGGAAATTCCATGTTGGCTCATTTGCCTATGTCAGTGGGCGGAATGAAAGCTAATCCTTTAAATCGGCAACTAGGCGGCTCGGCATGTAACGATCTGCCCCACTTATCATTCAGTGAACTTTCACAATTCAGTCATGATTGAGGTCAAGATCCGATGCTTTTTTATACTGTGGTGAAAGTAGGGGCCTCGAATGGCCGTATGGGGCCACTTACAAATCGAAAAAACGATGCTAAATAGGAAGATTCTAACCCACCAAGCCAGAAACTATCCCCCCCCCCACCTCCTGGTGAATGCGTCACACAGAGACAGACCCAATCAAAAACCACAAGTGAGCACGACAGTGGAAGGTGCTGGCCCAACGCTCCAAATGGACCAGCCGCCACTGGAACACGGATGGGAATAGGAGCACTGTCGACGACGACAACAACGACAACGACAACAACAACAACTGGGGGCACAGCAGCCTCTGAGTGGATGTGACGTTTCGACGACAGCGAGCGGATCGTTGTAGTCGTCATTGCTCCAGAGTGGTGGTCGGCAAGCAAAACAACAAGAGGAGCCATTTTTTTCGAATTCGGTAAGAAACTCAAAATTTCAAGAGCCGCAATGGAACGTGAATACAACGCGTTTCTGAATAAACGACGTCACGAAGCAGTTCTTAGATAGCCGCATGCGGCTTCGGAGCCGCAGGTTGCCGAGCCCTGCTCCAGCATATCCGAAAGCACATTACAAAGGTAAAGGTGCAGCGCTGCAATGACTTGCTCACGCGAATGTTTCCAGAAGGACCTTCAACGAGAGGGAGCTCTAGATAATCCCTCAAGAGGTTAGAGGTCACTTGACCTTCTCTGTCACATGGCTGAGCAAAGGGGATGGGTTGGTGGAGGGAGGGTGGAGGGCCTATCACCCACCCCCACGAATCCCTGAAGATTGGGAAGTTTCTACATTCCTTCCGCACTGACCGGACGTGGTTCGGAGAAAATGTGCGAGCACCCCCCACTTCACCCCCCCCCCTCCCCCACACGTGACCCCGCCGCTTCACGACTTGGAGCGACTATTTATGCTGGCATGGAGGGGCGACGAGCATCTTGACCAAATAATTTGCAAAATATTTTCCCAGCATAAATAGTCGCTCCAAGCCTGGATCGTGCCATTCTTTGACAGACCTGTTCTCCACCTGAGGACAGCTGCTTGCGTTGTGGCCGAAACGTCGTAAGAATTATTTTATTATGTTTTATTTTTGTTATTTTATTATTTTCCTTCTACGTGACTTTACAGAAAGAACCAAGAAGATGAATCCCTGCAGTCACGAAAGCTTTCAATCGAAATATGACCTCCCGTCACCTTTCGCGCGGACATCTTCGACTAGCAGTGTGGCCAGGGAGCCGTTGTAAAACGCGTCCTCGCCTTCCCTGGCGATCGTCTCCAGGGTGCGAGCGAGCGCTGGGTAGCGCACGATGTCGTTCTCCTTCTTGACGGTGCCGTTGGGCCAGCAGAAGAGATCGCTGGGGGGGAGGGGGGGGGACAGGCGGCAGAGGCCATCGCTCAGCGTGCCGAACGCGCGCAGAAGGGCGCCGCAGATCGGACCGTCACGTAACTTATCTTATTGTTTGTTTTATACCATTGGAACCTCATTTGGCAGTAAAAAATATGATGATTGTTTTTTTTTACCCTTCTATCTGGCAACAAAACTGAAACCTTTTTTTACAAGGAGTCATGTTTGCATAGACCACAATACCTGCAGCCATAATGCAAACAAAAAACATAACTCTGATAATGTATGCACTGTCCTTGAAGTTGATTGGTCCACACCCGAGACAGCTTTCCTTAGAGCCTAGTCTCACATGGTGTTGGACCAGATGACGCCAATGTTTTTTGTTTGCATTATGGCTGCAGGTATTGTGGTCTATGCAAACATGACTCCTTGTAAAAAAAAGGTGTCAGTTTTATGTTTATCTACAGAGCGCCTCGGCCCAGGGCGCTTTAAGTAGTTTCACAAGCGGTAACCCCCCTCCCCCACACCCTGTCATTTCCACCCGCTTCATCCACTTTCCTTTTTTAAGTTATTTTCCGTCAACTTCCCCTCGCCATATGGTCTCGGTGGGGTCAACAAGCCCACTCTCTCTCTCTTTCTGTCTTTAAACCCAGATGCAGTGGTCGGGACTGAGGTCAGAAGAGTTTCTATAACCCCCTCCCTGCGTCGTGGTTTGTGGTCTGTGCCGGTCTCTTATTGAACAAAAATAGAGCATACTCTTCGAGTCTTTCGGTAAAGTCACGTAGATAGAAAAATAATAAAATGTAATATATAAATAAGAGCCACGACGTTTCGATTGCAACACAAGAAATCGTCTTCAGGTGAAAGAATACAGCACCTGAAGACGATTGCTTGTCTTCTTGGTTCTTTCGGTAAAGTCACGTAGAATGGAAATAATAAAACAATAAAAATTAAACATAATAAAATAATTCTCACGACGTTTCGGCCACAACGCAAGCAGCCGTCTTCAGGTGAAGAATAGGTCTGTCGAGAAGACAGAGTCTTTCATTCAGAGAGAGAATTATTTTATTATGTTTTATTTTTATTATTTTATTATTTCCATTCTACGTGACTTTACCGAAATAACCAAGTAGATGAATCCCTGCAGTCACGAAAGCTTTAAATCGAAATTTACGATTGCTTGTGTTGCGATCGAAACGTTGTGATTTTTTAAAATTATTTTTCTATTTACGTGACCTTACCGAAAGACCCAAAGAGTATGAATTCCTATAGTCACAAAAGCTTTAAGTCAATGTTTATACTTTTCGATGTAAAGCTTTCGTGACTGCAGGGATTCATATTATTGATTCTTTCGGTAAAGTCACGTAGAAGGGAAATAATAAAATAATAAAAATAAAACCTTATATACAATATCATTTTCCTCAGGTGAGGACGGCTGCTTGCATTGTGGCCGAGACGTCGTGAGAATTTTATGATATTGTTTTATTTGTATTATTTTATTACTTCCCCTCTACGTGACTTTACCGAAAGAATAAAGAATAAGACTTATACAATTTTTATTTTACCAGGTAAAGCCCACTGAGCTATATAGCTCTTTTTTAGAAGCGACCTGGCCACAAACGATTTCTCAATGAAGTGGCTCATCACGTGGAAATCTATTGCAGTCAAATACTCTAAACGCGTGACGTTGATACTAAATATGGAGGGAAAGACCGGAGGACCCAGAGAAAAATCCACGCGACCACGAGAAGAACTTGCAAACTCCACATACACAGGGTCAGGATAGAACCTACGACCTCCTGCATACCAGGCAAGGTAGTTGACATCCCACCACTGTGGTGCTCCAACCTCACTTTCCCTACTTTTAACACCGACATGGATGGTTATACCTGGGCATGTGGCGTAGCCACTGCTATGCTCTTGCAGCCATACACCGCGCCTTCAACGACCCACGGAGTGGGGGGAACGCTCACCCACACACAGTGGAATTACAAATGCCCGTGTATTTGCACACGTACACACCATGAGATCACAACGGCGAAAAAGTTAGCACTCATGCTGATGTAACGGAACCAAGGTTTGCGACATTGTGCCAGGTTTAGGATTTTGTCAAAATTGCACTCGCAATTAACTTTCCCGTCGGTAACTGATAACCAGCAGGGTCATTTATTAACCGTCCACAGCACTTGAATAGAACATCAACAAGTAAAAAGTTGGCCATAAATCTAAGAGAGAAACGAGGAGGAGGTTAAGGAATGGGACTGCTTAATGCACAGGGCAAGTTTATTCCAGTGCAGGGGTGTCCCCAACATTTTGTCATGGCGTGACTATCACTTTATGTACATGTTCACAAATCCAACCTCTTCACGCAAGAGTAATGCTCACCTCATCTCTCACGCCTTCGCTTTGCGAAATGCACAGGGCAAGTTTATTCCAAATATACCCCCGGCCAGGCCTGTAGCTTCGCAAAGGCTGGGGGGCTGAGCCCCCCCCCCCCTGCTGAAGGTTAAGTACCCCCCCCCCGCCCCCTCTCCACCCCTTCTAATTCTTATATTCAAGCCGTATGATTTACAAAATGTCTGCAATAGTTGGAGGCGGCTGCAAAATACAATTAAGCGAGGGGCATCTCGGGCCTCGCTGACGCACACAGCGGGCGAGAGCCAGGGCAGGACGCATGACGGACAAAGGTCGTGCCGTTACGTATTCTCTTTGGCGTTTAGCGTACGTTTTAAATTAGTTTTATATTAACGTGATCGTGCCCCCCCCCCTCCCACCCCCGAGATTTTGTATTATCCCTCCCCCCCCCCACCCTTTAATCAATGTCACACTACCGGGTTGCCTCCGAGACCGTGTTCCTATCGCGTCCATACCAGATTTCGGAGTCGTTTTTGAATTTGACCCTCTCGTCGATTTTGGCGAGCTTCTCGGCCAGCTCCCGCGATACGGGAACGCCATTGCGAGCCATCTGGATGCTCGGCTCCAACAACTTGTGCCAGGGCAGGCGTCCGTGCCGGCGGTGGGCGAGGGCGTAGGCTCGCAGCTCGCCTGGAACGCCGATCGCCAACGGCTCCATGGAAAGCACTGCGGCAGAGGAGGGCGAGGAGAGCGCCGGCGGTTAATGGGAACGACGATGGGTTTGTCTTTTTGATATAGCGCCCTACACGCCGGGGCGTCTCGGGAACACTTGACATCACATCTCATCTCGCACCGGCACCCCCAATGGCAGCCGTCCCTGTGTGGCACGAGGCGACTTAGGACCCGGCCTGCAATCGGCCACTAGTCTGCCAGTAGGGAGCGATGATTGCTACGTGTAATTCCAATTGAGTAAGTTTGGTTTCGAGTCTTCTTCTTCTGCTTAGCCAGTAGTCCCATTATTGCATGGGGTGTCAGCTTCTCACTTAACATAATAAATAAAATATAGAATAATGAAGCTATTATAAAAAGTACAACGATGCTTAAACTCGGTTAAGATTTTGCAGCGCAAATTTCGCGGCGCAAATGGCCTTGTGCGGTGTACTATTACACAACTAACAAAAAAATGGGTCTTACGATGTCCCAGGATTTACAGATTTCCAAGGACAGCTTGCTCAAGAAATCTGACATCCTGGGAAAAAAATCTATGACTGCATGGACACATTGATTTTGCAAATGGAGTAGTCAACGGAGATTTCCAAAACGCACGAGGGTCAGGCATCTATTGAGATTCCCACAACAGCACAAATTATGTGAACGATGCCCGTTCCACTGTCCCTGATGCACTTGATTTAACTGGTTACATTTATCTAGCAATCCCTTGCAATGGAACATTGCCATTATCTCACCACCAGAGCTAAGTGACTGATAGAGTATTTCCAACTGAAGACCATGGAATGGTGCCAACCATCATCAGGCATGATAAATCCGCTGCTGGATGAAGGTCTCCCCTTGCCATCACAATATTTCACAATCATCAATCTACCTGGCACCATCTGCCGGGAGGGAATACATTACAAGATGCTTTGATGCCTCTGCCCATGGTCTGCTGCTCTCAGCAAACCTTGCATTACATCGGGAGCCGATGAGACAGTAGGAGTAAGATACACTCTATCAGCCGTAGTCTTGTGGTTTAACGAACGTTTATAATGTACAGTGTTTGCTGTTTTAAGCTAGCATGACATATCTGTGAAGACGGAATTTTGGTTTCATTCCCAGTGTTTAATCAACCTGCAGGAAGATAGACATTATTATGGTTGAGTGGGAAATGTTTGACTCAAAGTCTGCCCAAAGACATCGATCGGCAACACAAACACAGCATTGTCAGGAGAAAGCCGTGGCATGTGACTTATACCACACAGCGAATTTTTTTTGACATATGTTTGAAATCCTAAAGCCCCCTTGATGTCCTCGTGACGTATATACATATTTGACATTTACTGTGAGCGTTGCCTGCAAAGGATTAAGATAAGTCAAAGTGATTTCCTGTTTCGATGACAATTGAGGTGGCGCTCAACTCCTGTTTACAGCCCTGAGCCGGTCGTGAAAATTCCACGTTCCTGTTGCGAGTACTTTCCCACAAAGTGGGAAAATATCGCTTAATAAATAAATACAGATTTCGATTTAAAGCTTTCGTGACTGCAGGGATTCATCTTCTTGGTTCTTTCGGTAAAGTCACGTAGAAGGGAAGTAATAAAATAATAAAAATAAAACATTTTATTATGTTTTATTTTTATTATTTTATTACTTCCCTTCTACGTGACTTTAGCGAAAGAACCAAGAAGATAAATACAGATGTTGCGATTCCTCTGTGTTTATAACCAAAACAAATGTGGTACGTTTAGTTTCACTTCCTCGTGTGTATTATTCCAAACGCTGTCACCTAGATCAATTTCAAGATCACTCTCACACCACCTCGCTGCCGCCTCATCTCTCCCCTCTCATTTCATTCGACTCTCCTCCGCACAGCAACCAAGGCTTTCTGTCGAAGCCTCCAGTCAACCCGAACTCAGTGAGACGTCGCTCATTCCCCTCTGCTGTCACCTATTTTTGTCTGGAACTCCAGAGCCCCAGTAATCTGTGCTGTTCACTCTTTGCCTCTGTTATCGTCCAGGCTCAGGGTGGCCGCTGGATTTAAAACCGCGAACCTCTGCAACGAGCGGCGAACGCTCTACCACTGGACCATACTCTTTGATCTTAATTTGGAGCTTTCGTGACTGCAGGAATTACTCTTTGGTTCTTTCGGTAAAGTCACGTATAAAGATAAAATAATAAATTAAATAATAGCATACGACGTTTCGATTGCAACACAAGCAATCGTCATCAGATATAAATGAAATAGAAACACAAATCTAACCAGAAAACTATAGACAGACATATAAGCAGACAGATATCACCAAGATACATAGAGAGTGAGCAACACATAGGCACACAGAGAGAGAGCGTCTCTGTGACGAGGCCTTAAATAGAGAGAGGGGGCGGGGGCGGACCATGTCACCATCTTTCCCCCTTGCCTGCCCCCCCCCGCCCCACAAACCCTTCAAATCCCCCCCCCCCAACACAACGGTGGAAGATATCTCGTTAGGACAACAAAACTGGCATTACTCTTTCGATTGCAAAGTGTTTCGTTGATGGATGGCGGCAGGTTCCTCGGAGCCCTCTCCCTCGCCATAATCACCTCTGTTTCGCCTGCGTGAGAGAAAAACAAAAGTTTGACAAATGACACTGTGACACGAAGTCATGCACGACGAGTCCGTGTTCATGATGGCAGCGTGTAGGCCAGGGGTGGGGAACCTTTTTTCTGCCAAGGGCCATTTGGATATGTATAACATCATTCGCAGGCCATACTAAATTATCAACTTTAAAATTAGCCTGTTATATTTGCTCAAACATTTTCATTAACTCACCCCCAATGTGATGGCTGGAACTGCTTCTCTTTGGCGAGGCGTGTGATGATGTTAGCTGGTATTGATGATGTTGCTACTCGCAACTGCTTTTCCAGGTTTGCTCCTAGATTTATTGAATTTCGAGTCCCGCCTGCGATTGCCTTGGCAGGGCCACACCGAATGATTTCTCGGGCCTCATATGGCCCATGGCCCGGACGTTCCCCACCCCTGGTGTAGGCAAGTTGCGTTCTATACCTCACCCAAGAACACGAATATCACCCAGCACCTGGTCGCCGTTTCAAAATGGGTTGTTTAATATGAGGCTGAGCGTGAATGTGTATAGAGTCAGTGACATTTGTATACACACGAGGACATGGAAATACTTGCGTGGTGTCAGGAATTTTCAAAAGGAAGAGGGGGGGGGTCTAAATGGGGTATGAGGGGGCTGAGGCCTGGGCAAGGGAATGAGGTGACCCCACACATTGATCGGTGATGTGAAGGGGGAGGGGGGGTAAAGACAACCAGCGTCTATCAGCACAGAGGCACGGTAAATTTCGATTTAAAGCTTTCGTGACTGCAGGGATTCATCTTCGTGGTTCTTTCGGTAAAGTCACGTAGAAGGGAAATAATAAAAATAAAACATTATGTTTTATTTGTATTATTTTATTATTTTTATTTTAAAAACATAAAGCTTTATTTTTATTATTTTATTATTTCCCTTCTACGTGACATTAAAAAAACCATGTTTTATTTTTCTATTTTATTATTTCCCTTCTACGTGACTTTTTTTAAAAACATAATGTTTTAGTTTTATTATTGTATTATTTCCCTTCTACGTGACTTAAAAAAAACATAATGTTTTATTTTTTTTATTGTATTATTTCCCTTCTACGTGACTTTACCGAAAGAACCAAGAAGAAGAAGAGGCACGGTAGTTGAGGTGATTAGCGACTCGACGCCTGGATGCTAATGTGGAAGACGCGAGCTCAGATTCATGAGTCGGATGGTACTTTTTTAAAATCCTTTATATTAAGTTCACTTGCGCGCTTGCTTGCTTGCTTACGACCGTGCAAATCTTTCGGTCGTTTTTTAACCCACTTCCCGTGATCCAATCGAGCTGACATTTTCCACACAGACTCGTTGTGCGTGACAATTAATGTTCGTGAAATTTTTTTTCAAAAATTTTACACTTTTTAGGACAAAAATATTATATTTAATTACCAATTGCTTAATGGTGCCATGCAATCATCTGACCCATAGGTGGCAGCCATCTCAAGCCAGAGGACGAGAGGACTCTAGCCGCCACGCATATAAAGGATTTATAGTGAAAAACTTTGTTTTTACGGGTTATACTTGTTAACCACCCCCTCGGCTACGGCGTCTCTCCAATGAGCGACGGTGTTTTTGACGCAATTAATCCAGAGCAAGTTATTCCGCAATAAGTGGCTTTTAAAAAAAAATAGTAATGCATACTTTTTACTATTAAAATGAAGACAAGTGGCTTCTACCTTCCTGTGCCCAAGTGTTTTAGTGGGGAGGCTACAGTCGATTGTTCTCCCCTCCCCCCCAAAGTGTGCAACTTCCTACCCCATTCCCCTCCCCCGCCATCTCCTCTTGGACACAACCAATGATGCTGGCACCACGTGACACAGAACAACGATGGGATTTATTTTGTACCGCATCTGAATGCGACCGCATCTCAAGACGCTGGGATGAGACCGCTTGATGAGCGGTCAATTGCTTATATGCCTCCCGATGGAAATAAAAAGCGAGACGTACCAGCACAGAAGAGTTTGATGATAAATGGACATATATGCCAACGTATAGGAACGTGTATGGTCGCGTGTGCACACTCACCTCCGGCCGGATTGTAAATGGTGAAAATGACGCCCCCTCCCAGACCCATGCTGTGTGGGTTCATCAGCGAGGTGCAGAACAGGGTAGCTATCGATGCATCAACCGCAGAGCCGCCTACCTTCAGAATGTCCCTGTGCAGGAAACAAAGTCATTAGGCCCGTAACGGTTTGACCGTCCTGGCGATTCCGTGATTTGTCGCGATTCGGGCTGTTGGGATTATCTAGACTCGTTGGTTAAGAGGTAAAGGATGGAGCCCTGCAACTGTTCTACTCGTGGCACTGCTGATGGAAGGGGAGCCCCGATAGAGAGCTCCTCTGGAGGGTATTTGGTCTACTCCTCCACGCTGACCGGACGTCTTGTTGGAAATGAGAGTGTTTAGAAATTAGCCCACCACACACGACCTGCCGATCGTCTAGAGTGGACCCATTTATACTGCGGGGTAGACAGAGGCAGCAGGATTTAAGAAACTTGCCCCATTGTTTCAACGGCCGTGCCGGGCGATCGAATCGAACCGGCGATCTCAGGATTGCAAGTCCAGCGTGCTAATCACGTAAATGGCCATATTTAGTTTTCGGAAGTCCTGCAAATGAACAAAAAAAAACTCATGCATTTTTGTGAGTGGTTTTTTGTTCGTTGTGCTTGTGCACCACTTCAAATAATTTGTTCAGTTCCACAAATTAGGCAAATTTAGGCAACCGCACGGTAATAAGTGCAACGTAATCCTGACCGTACATATCCGGTGTCATTTTGAAGGTAATCGTCTCCAGCTGCAGTAAAACGCGGCTTGTTTACCAAGTAAAATGGTTTCCCACATGCGCAAAGCTGAATGGTGCATGCGACGCGTACATGTGTGGGTAAAGAAGGTCAGGTTGTGATCACGAAAAAGTAGATTACGAGCATTTCTCCCTTACAAAAAGAATGGACAAATCATTTCCATCTGAACTGCAGTCTTAATTTGTTGCCATACCATGCCTAAGTAAAAAAAAAGTACTTCACTGTTATACTAATGATTACCCACAGCTTTGAAGTATCTGAAGATATTTTTGAACCGTGTCTTAGCAGTGTCCCTCACTGGTGGCCCCTGATGACCTTTAGTGCGGCCCCCGACAATGCACACATGTGAAAGGACCCCGTCATGCTGCGAAACCCCAATGGTTTCAAATAATGTGGCGGCCCTCACACCGATGTCGTATCGCTAAAAGTGACCCCCCTCTGAAAGTCGCATGGGAGTCGTTAACAATCTTGGTAAACTATAAAACTACTAAACTAATAACAGTTTTTTTATTTTACCAGGTAAAGCCCACTGAGCTATATAGCCCTTTTTCAGAAGCGTCCTGGCCACAAATGATAGCTCAACGAAGTGGCTTATCATGTGGAAATGTATATCTGCTAAATACTCTAAATGCATGTTTCTAAATGTTTTTAGACGCTTGATGGAAAGTCTCTAATAATGCATTGAAGACAAACTTGGGCATGTACATTTACACAATATTTGCCAAAAACTAAATCGATTCCCAAGCACATGGAACGATGCTCGTATCGTGAACATAAGAATAAATTTTTATCTATGCAGGTTTGCATGTCTCGTATAATACTTGTGCTCACTGTATAGAACTTTAAAATATCTCTCGCCAAGCATGTCAGGAAAACAATTCGGACAAGTTATCTTTCTTTGTAGGGGACGCAGCGATGCAGTGGGTTGTGCCAGTGGCGTAACGACATCATCAGCACAGGGGAGCCGGCAATCGGTCAGCTTTGTTTTGCACGGTTGAACGTAGGCGATTATACACCGCGGCTCCTCTTGCCGAATCAAATCGTTACGCTCACGACCCCCCCCCCCCCCCCCCATTCGCCCCAACGCGGCGGAAACGTTCTGCTCGTTTACCCAGTTACGCTACGACAACATCGAAACGCAAGCCAAACGTTGCTGCTCCAATTCAATAAAAAAATCGAACGTGGGACGCAAATATGCTCCTGGTTCACGCACTCCGCTATGAACCTGGCGACTGACCCGATATCTATTCCGGGCCATGGCTAGCAATCGTGGCGAGTGATATCTGAACGGGTCCTGGCCACCCTCATCACTCTCCTCCCCATGCCCCTTCATCAATCCACATTGTTAGGTTGGGTCAAACCACCATAACGACGGACACGGCACGTGAAGGGCTCCATCCAAACGAGCAGTGGAGTGACAAAGGCCCTGTACGTTATTCACATCGTCGCATGCTCTTTGTACCCCACACACGAGCCGTTGAATCAGTTGGCCTGACGTGAACCGTGGAGAAACGTATCTCTGCACTATCGCTGCTCGTCGTGTGAAACATGCCAAGCGGTTTCTCCACGAATCTGGGAATAATAGCATCACAGTGTGGCACTTCATAGTCGACCTCGAACGAGCGCTGCACCCCGTCCCCCCCTCCTGTCCTCCCAGTGGCGTAGCTAGGATATTTTGCGCCCGGAGACGAACTATAAAATTGCCCCCCCCCCCCCCCCGTTTAATCACATACCAAAATGTAATTACATGACATGTAGGCTGTGTGTGGCGGGATATATAAACTTTCAGGTTGAGGTGTAGATGTGTGCAGTAGTTTCAGGCTGCCGCGCCCGCCGCAATAAGTTATAATGTAAAGTTGTAAGCCTCATTTTGGCGCCCCTTTACCTTGGCGCCCGGGGACATATGTACCCCCCTGCCCCCCCCCCCTAGCTACGCCTCTGTGTCCTCCTCCCCCATGCGATTTGATGAATCGTCTTCTGCTTGGTCGTGCTCTGATTAATTTAGTCTTGGCAGCGGTGTGTTGTTATATGGCAACCCTTCAGTGGCTGCATAGGTCACGTCAGTTGACTACAACATCCAAATCGAATATCGCCGATGCTCGCACGCACTGACGATTCGACGCACGTGTCGTGAACGCAGGAACGAACTTTTAGTTGACCGCAGAGCGGCATCGTTATACTCCTGGTGAGCAAACAGCTCCATAAAATACGCAGGCCACTCTTGGTCAATCGCACGGGGTGGTGGGAGCCAGTGGACTCTGGACTTGACATTATTTGTATTTCCTTTCTTCGTGCATGGCGCACTGAGATTATTGGATGAATTGCGTCTTATAAATGACAATTATTACTATTATGCGTGATTGATACTGCCAGAGAGCCAGAAAATTGGGACTCGGTTTGGTCAAACTCATGTTGTTGAGTACAGCGCACACCAGAGTATCTATTCACACTCGAGGAATCCGATGAGCTATGAAGCTCTTTTCAACAGATGTCCACATGAGTGATGCTGCCAAGGCAAGGGTGCGTTGGAGGCGTTGTACGTGTACAGCAATCTGTCATTTGACCGCTGGATGCGGACCTCCCCAAAGCTGAGGGTTGCAGGAATCATGTGAAGCACAATTCGCCCTGCTGGTCTGTGATTGGTCGGTGTGAATGCAGCAAGGAGAGACGCGAGAGCACGGAAGCGCAGTACCAACACCAACACTGGGTGTTGGTACTTTACTTGCAGATGGGTAACCGTGCACTGGCGGTCACCCATCCAAGCGATATCCAAGCTGAAACCTGCTTAGCTTCGGAGATCCGACAAGATCGCTCATATTCCGGGTGATTGGGTCATATAGGCCAAGGTGTTGTAAGGGATCCAAATTCAATTCAATTCCAGGGCACACAAGACAGAATTCAAGTACGAGGTGCTGTGTAGTCTACACTGGATCAACCAGATAATCCAAGCATTCAAAAGTATGCAGACTGATGCATGTATAGTTACTGTACACATTTTTAATGAGACTCTTACTTGTCAACAGGCGATTGCATATTGTGAAAGTGATGGCTCCATATCTTACAGAGGACAGTGTTTACAATATTACACAATAAGAGCATTCGGATTGATGAGAGACACGTAGGTGTTTTTGTGCAATAACCACCGTTGTTTTCCCTATAATTATTATGAACTCCGGTATCTGTGGGGTATCTACGAACTACGAAGGCCATTGGCAAGCGGTCATACTCCTCCCTAAAAGGCCACTGGCTTTATTGAGCTTTTCTTTTTCTTTCAGGAAGTGGTGACTTGATTAAGTCCAGCTGTTTCAAACTAATCTTTATTAAAGGCGTTCTTGGTCAAAAGAAGACTTTGGCACCCGTGACTCCTCCGCACATGGGAGCAAAGAATTGCGTAATAAAAATTTTACTTAAAACTTTCGTGACTGCAGGGATTCATATTCTTGGTTCTTTCGGTGTTAGTTAGTTGTAGCTCGTTGTAATTACTGGCGAAACGTCGCACTCAGATTGTAAATGTTGTGGCTTGGCTCTCCAACACACCGGTGTTGCTGTACTAGTGACGAATTGGCCACGTTCTATTTCGATTTAAAGCTTTCGTGACTGCAGGGATTCATCTTCTTGGTTCTTTCGGTAAAGTCAGGCGCTCCTCTTCCACCTCCTACCCAGCTTATATATAAGCTCCTAGCTTGGCAGTGTCTCATTCTTCACCTGAAGACGGCTGCTTGCGTTGTAGCCGAAACGTCGTGAGAATTATTTTATTTTATTATGTTTTATTTTTATTGTTTTATTACTTCCCTTCTACGTGACTTTACCGAAAGAACCAAGAAGATGGCCACGTTCTGTTTACGTGACAACCCTTACTAGTTGGCTGTGTCGGGTGGTGGCGGGTTTTAACGACACATTTATATATTTACGCGATCTAACCCAAAAAAAACCTCTATTATGGAAAACACCGGGCAGCTAACCAGCACTGGTTCAGGCAAGCCTGACTCTGCCGAAGAAGAAAGACTGAATGTCGAGAAACGGTCCCAGTGTTTGCTTGGATTGCGCCAACACTGCCTAAGTAAGATGCACTCCCCCCCCCCCCCCCCCCCCCAGAAGGCCGTTAATCCGATGGATTAAGTGGAGCAATATTTACTTTTCGCTTTTTTGTGTGTTTTGTTTATAAACTTTATTTGTTTATGTTGAAAGAGGCGATATCTACTCGTTAGTAACATTTTCCACGACGACTGTTCGTGATATGTGGGAAAAGGAAGCAAGATAAGTGAACGTGTTTCATCTGGACATTCCTGAGACACATTCGCGCGAAAACACAAAAACCACATAAGGGGTCACTCGATTTGTCATCTGTCTACATTCCATGCAAAATAATTTTGGAAAAAAAAACCTTTCAAGACTCAATGGACTTGTCCCACAAAAGAAATCGCTGCTGTATCTAGTTTATATATCAAAGTGTCTTCACTGGAAGCCACAAACGCAACTGACCATACTTTGATGTTTCGTATTATTTAAAAACATACACAACTAGCAATTTTGACTCGTCAACCCTCCGGATTCAGTGAAATGAGTAGCATTTAGGTAAAGCGAGTAATTGGCCTATTGATACAGACATCCCCGCCATAGGAATAAAAAATTTCCACCACTGAATGAGGGCTTTAGATAAGCACCGCCTCAAAGCACTTGGGCATAAAAATCATTTTAACTTTTGATTTTGAATAAGTGCGCGAACCACACCACGCCACCGCTTCCCCCATACATGAGCACGAACAAACAAAGATACACAATTAAAAAAAACTAAAGACACAGAGCCAAATAAATGACACACCGGCACAGAAAGACGAAAGACACGCACTCGGCTACAGACAAAAGACACATGGCACATCGAGACAAACGCGGACAAAACACACGTACACACAGAGACCATGCCAACAACAAAAATGTACGCATTGACAGAGACAGACAAAGACACACGCACGCTGACAACGGACAGAACAATACAACACTCGCAGAGACAAAGACGCGCACGGTCAAACAACCGCGTGCGTAATGGGTGGCCAAAGTGACCGACCACTTCTAGATTTGAAGCTTTCGTGACTGCAAGGATTCATATTCTTGGGCTTTTTCGGTAAAGTCGCGTAGGCAAAAAATTAATCAAAATTAATAAAAGTAAAATAAATATAAAATAAAAATCACGACGTTTCGGAGGCAACACAAGCTTCCGTCTTCAGGTGGAACCGTCACAGCACGCTTGCTGTATCAGGTAGATGAGAAATTCCAAGAGATACGACCCCGTATATATACTGGGGTTTTTTTACCTACGTGACTTTACCGAAAAAACCCAAAAATACGACCGACCACTCGCTGACCTGCCCACGATGGAGCATTGCGTTGCGTCCGACGCAACGGCCCCGCGTTGGTAGCTGGGCCATTCGCGGATGATCCTGTCGCATTTATCCGCATCCTCGGGGCCCCGTGGATGTCCCAGCTGCAGCAACGCCGCGGCCACGAGCAGCAGAGTGAGGACCACGAGACTCGCGACGGCCACCACGAGGCTGCACGCCCAGCACCGCGACCCTCGCCGGCAGAGACCCCCCCTCCTCGCCCGCCTCCCGGAGTCGCCGTGCGCAAGAGGAGGAGGAGGAGGCATTTCATTTGGGGTGGTGGGGAAATCCGTACGGGTAGTCGGTCAGTCGGTTCGTCCCTGGACCTGCTTGCCGTGCTTAGCCACTCCTTCTGCTGGTGTTCTATTGACCCCCTTACAAGCCCGTAAGCTCGTAGCCCCGAGCACCGCAGTCGTGCAAAAAAAAAACTGAACGTCCCTTGGAGTTGGGTGGCTCCGGCTTGCTGGTTTTTCCGTCAGTCGGTCAGTCGCCTATCTACTCCCCCTGGTACTTCTGCACGATGCGGCGTCAAGCTCTCTCCGCGTCTAACCCCACGAAGCGCTGCAAAGCTGAACGCCGCTGGTGGTTCTGGAGAGTTGTGACAAGCGATGAGGAAGGAGGAAGGAGGAGGGAGGAGGTTGGGGGAACATTGGGGTGAAGGGGAAGTGATTTAACAGGCACCACGCAGAGGAAAGTGCTCTGTGCGGCCAAGTGAGGGCGTCTTTTATAGAGCAAGCGCAGAAGGGTCGGATCGTCGGTGGAATTATGAATGAGTTTCGTGGTTGAGTAGATGATGAATTGATCTGCACATGAATACATCCTGTACACGGATGCATTGATGGGTTAGGTGGACGCTTGAGTGAATGGGTGCGATGATGGATGAGTGGGTGAGTGCAAGGGTGAATGGAGTAATGAGTGAATCGAGGAGTCGGTAGGTGAGAGATCAATGTGAATTATTTCAATGTTTATGTAAAGCTTTCGTGACTACAGGAATCCACACTCCTTTGTTCTTTCGGTAAATAAAACAAAATACATTTTTTATATTTTTTTGAATTTTTCTACCTACGTGACTTTACCGAAATAACCAAAGAGTATGAATTCGTTCAACTTGTAACGCCACTGTACCCACATGCAATCAACCAAAATACAATATCAATCTTTATTTTATGTGGCAATATTGGTTCAATACCGGGGCCACAGAGTAACAGGAAGGAGAAAATAAGAAACCCGACACGACCTCGGCGGCGAACACCGACTGAGCAATAAAAAGTGGAACTATTCGTAACGAATAGCTGATGAACTTCTTTCGCGCCGTACGTAGCCAACCGTGGTAGGATTTCGGACGTGCAAATCGCGTGCAGCGATACGGCCAGCACAGAGTCGGGATCTCCGGCCTGAAGAACCTTGAACCAGCTTACCAGCAGATGTTTGGGGGTCCATACTTGAGGCTAGCCAGTTTTGCAACACAATTAAAACTGTTGTTGTTGTTATTCCAAAAAGATTTGTACGTGTCATCAACGCCAACCATTCGTGATGGACTGGATTCATAAGAGTGCGTGATAACAAGTGTTCAGACTTACTCACTTGACTTCCCCGAAGTTGACTCTTATAATTGTTATGTATTGAATGCGACAAACAGAGACGGAGCATGTTTTTGTCCTGTCAAGCAACCTAATCATTACGACGTCGCCGTTGTGAAACACAAAAACGAGCCCACATTGACTTTTTTTTAAGACGAAGACATTTGCAGCACTGTTATATTGTATTACGTGAGGCAATTACTCGAGGCAAAAATATGCTTTGAATGGGATCAAACGGATGTTTAAGCTAAGTGCTTTGAAAAGGAAGCACTCAAGAGTATGGTACAACAGAAATGCTAATTTAAACTTGAGATCTCCGTGCGAAATATTCTGTTACTGGGCCAAGAATTGTAAAACTAACTCTTCGTCGTCGTTCAAAACGCAATCTTGAAACAATTAAAATGCAGACTCCAATCTCGACGGAAATTATTTGATCTGAAGATGTAACTGAGACAAAACTGAGTGCGGCAACAGTCAAGAACCATACATCTCTGCAGTAAATGATAGCAGAAGCTCCATCTCTCTCTGTCTCTGCTATAAAGAACAACCCCGCTTATTTTTGTTCTTCTTTCCTGTTAGGGCAACAAAAAACAATGACTAATATTGTTTTTGGAATATTCCGTGTAGCCTTAACAGACTGTTGGGGCAAGTGCTGTTTGCAAGCACCGATGAAGGCCGGCACGCCACACGAGGGGGTGGGTGACCAGCACCACGACGCCCTGCGATGTTTACACACCGCACCAGTTACTCATTTTAGGCTGTGTCGACCTAGGGGAGGCCCAGGACCAGTTCAGATAATCGTCGCCGCTGTTGGCCGTGGGCATGAATTCAACTCGGGTCGCCAACTCAGCAGCACAGCGCGCTCACCGCTATACGACCACTCCCCACACAAACACATTCCAAGGCAAGTTGATGCACAGCAGTTTTTCGTAATTATCCTGCTCAGTATTCACTCCAAGCAGATACCAGGCCCTGAAGCCATCCTCAGATGCTACTACTCAATAATTGTGTTGCTAGATTTTCGATTGTTTTAGCTCCCCTATGGAGCATATTTTGTCGACCCAGCTGCAATTAATTTAGAGAGAGGAAGTTATGCAGATTTGTATCATCATGAGACCTCCTTTGCCAGTAGCAAAATTTAATAATAGTTTTTGCTTCCCATTTTTTCTGGCAACAAAACTGAAACCTTTTTACGAGGTATCATGTCTGCATTAACCATAATACCTGCGGTCAGAATGCAAACAAAAAACACACTCTGATAATGTATGTATTGTCCTTGAAATTGATTGGTCCACACCAGAGACAGCTTTCCTTAGAGCCTAGTCTCATATTGTGTTCGACCAGATGACGCCAAAAGGTGCACAACTCAAAGACAACGCACTATCAGAGTAATGAGGGTTCGGGGTAAGCATTTACATCATGCCAGAAAAAAGGAGGAAAAAACTATATTTATATTTTGCTACTGGCAAAGGAGGCCAAATTATGTACTTTTTAGGAGCTGGCAAGATTCACCAATACGCATAGCACGATGAAAACCGTGATTTTAAATGTCAGGGGTTGGGATTGGCCAATTATCTCTTCCGTGCAGAACTGGCAGCATGAATGATATGGAAACAAAACTATAATAACAATTGTGATGTGGAACACCAAACAGGCAGTGTGTCTCTAATAAAATAAACAAAGTAATTACCGTACTTTGACAATTTAGTTCATCAGCTAATCATTTCTAGAGAAATGGATGACTAATTGTTATTTATAACATTACAAGAAATGTAAACAGGAGTTAAGTGAGTCAGCTGGGTTTAAGACACAATAAACAAGAAAAGAACGGGTAATGCCATGAAATGCAGGCTGGATACGCAAGGAACAATCTTCTCTGGCCAAGTCCCCATGCAACAATGGTCACTCCGTAGCAACAGTTTGAGACACTGAGAACCACGTGTTGGTTGAAAGCCACATAGGCATGAAAGAGCAGCACTTATCTGCCAACACATAATAGAGGTTGGGAGCCGTCCATAAATGACGTCACGCACCTGGGGGGGGGGGGTTTCAGACATCTGTGACGATGTGTGACGAGGGGGTGGGGGGGTTTGAGAAATGTGAAGCCACATCAAAATGCGCAACTTTAAATAAATATAGACAACACGTTCTCCTTAATTAAATAGACTTTTTGATAAATGTTTTCTCCTACAACATCAAAGTGCAGCGGCACATTAAATACGCACTACAATGACAATAGTTTAAAGCGATTTGAAGCATGTTTTATTTTTTTGGGGGGGGGCAGAGCTTTGTGACGTTATATTTGAGGGGGAGGGTCTGACTTTTTGTGACGCCGTGTGACGAGGGGGGGGGGTCAAAAATCGTTCAAAATCGCGTGACGTCATTTATGGACGGCCCCTTGGTGGGCTACATCAGTGTCTCTCAACTCCAGTCCTCGAGAAGACACCCCCAAAGTCCACGCTTGTCATGATTTGCATAATTTTAATGGGCCAATGCATGATCCGATGACTCAATCACCAGAAATGCATCCGATGTTGTCATATCTCGGTAGCTAAGCAGGGTTGAACCTAAATCGTGCTTGGATGTGGGACCACCGTGCATAACAGGTGTTATATGCTGTGAAGCAATATGATGGGCAGCAGAGGGCACTGCAGCGAAACTCATTATTGTACTGTACTTATATGTACCCACAACTATACTGCCCAACTTCAGCAATTCGAACCGAGCAGAGTCTTAAAGTATGTTTAAAAAACAACCCTAACAGCGTGCACGAATATGGTGAGCACCTCATCCAACAGTGTATTGCGAAAAATGCCTGCACATTTACACACTGCATGCAATTGATAGTTGGTAATCACCGAACACCATACCAATTGTCAGGTCTGGAGTAGAGAAACGCTGTTATTGTTATCAACGTTTTTATAAGGTGCACCAGACGCAACAGAGCGCCAAAACATATCTAGCTAATTTAACATATCATAGGAAATAAGTCAATTTTTTTTTATTAACGGGAGAATCTCAGCGGTCAGGTGCAGTTCTGACAGAGCGTTCCAAATCTGAGGGCCAACGACAGAACAATGCTGAGCTCCGAAACGTGTTTTTTTTTCCAACAGCGTGGCTGACAGAGGAGCATGGTCATACGTGAGAACCTCGAACTCCTAGAAAGATTTTAGAGCTGCAGTTTATCGGTCAAATAGTGAGGCGATTGCTGAAAGAGTGATTCGTGAATTGAGCACAGTACTGTCATTTTAATCGTGCAACCACGGAGCTAAATTGGAATCCAGTGTGGCAGATCCAATACATCTTCTTGGTTATTTCGGTAAAGTCACGTAGAATGGAAATAATAAATAATAAAAATAAAACATAATAAAATAATTCTCACGACGTTTCGGCCACAACGCAAGCAGCCGTCCTCAGGTGAAGAACAGGTCTGTCGGGAAGACAGAGTCTGAATAAAACACCCCAGGCTTGGAGCGTATATTTAAGCTGGGTTGGATCCAATACAGTTTGGAAGATTGGGTGCTGGTGAGAACGACCAGTCAATAGTCGCACAGAGGCGTTCTGAATGCCCTGGAGTTGTCCAACTCGACACGGTGGAAGATCCACGTACACGGCATTGCCATAGTCGAGATATTATAAGGACATTCAGCACCGTAACACGATCTCTGTCAGAGAGGGATGGTATGATCGTTTTGATTGTTCGTAAATGAAACACACAGGTTTTTTAGTACTTGTTTTATCGAGGGCAGAAACAATAGTGAATTATCGAGCACTTAGCCAAGACTCTTAGTTTTGTTTACCAGTCGGGGTGCCATTACATCAACAGTTAAAGACGCTGCCATGAGCCTCATGTCAGCAAGTTTAGACTTCTGCTCAACCAGCAAATATAACAGTTTTGTCGGAATTGAGTTTCAGTCAGTTGTCAGACATCCAGCTGCCAATATCTAACCGAGAAGCGGACAATGTAGTAAAGTCCTGCTTGACCCGGATCTGGTGAAAATAAAGACCATGTGCTCTGATCAGATCTCTCAGGAGCTTAATGTAAATGTTGAACAGTAGGGCTGATAATACTGATCCCTGCGGGGTTTATCAT